CCATTTGGAAGATCTATTTTAAAATGAATCCTGTCCCCGTCCTCACCCTTTGATCTAGACCTAAATGAGGCTCAGCATCGCTTTATTCTGAAATAACACGATAAGATAAGATAAGATAAAATAAGATAAGATAAGATAAGGTAAGTATTAATGAATCCCGCCCCTGTCCCTTCCCCTTGCTCCTGACCTAAATGAAGCTCAACGTCGCTTTATTCTGAAATAACACATAAGATAAGATAAGATAAAATAAGATAAGATAAGATAAGGTAAGTATTAATGAATCCCGCCCCTGTCCCTTCCCCTTGCTCCTGACCTAAATGAAGCTCAACGTCGCTTTATTCTGAAATAACACATACGATAAGATGAGATAAGATAAGATAAGATCAGATGAGATGTGCTTTATCAATTGGGGTAGGGAGGTGAAAATGTCAGAATATGAACAAGCACAGCTCGGCATCACGACAGAAATGTACTTATAACATTCGTGCTCAAAGATACGGATACACCGATGCACAACTCCCTTCTACAAGCATATGCAAACAATGTGTCCGTGGGCATAAACTCTCTCTCTCTCTCTCTCTCTCTCTCTCTCTCTCTCTCCCTCCCTTTCTTTATCTCCCTCCCCCCTCTCTCTCCCTCTCCTCTCTCTCTCTCTCTCTCTCTCACACACACACACACACACACACACACACACACACACACACACACACACACGAACAAACACACGCACACGCACCGACCATACACACGTGCACGCACGTACGAAGGCACACACTCACACACACACACACACACACACACACACACACACATACACACACACACACGCACGCACAAACACACCATCTCGTCCATACATATCAGGTAACCACTTAAAGCAAGTATAATCTCTAACGAAAAGATCATTCTATATAAGGTGGTTTTCAATATTGTTCTCTTTCCGTTGAACTTGGTGGAAAAGGAGTTATTATATATCTCTGTGTTTGAATCAAGCCATACTTATATATATATATATATATATATATATATATATATATATATATATATATATATATATATAGGAAGGACATTTCTGATTTAGCTTTTCATTTTCTTTCCGTCATTATTTCTTCTTCAAGCAAACTAACAAAGATTTTTTTTCAAAGTATATCTATACGTTTTATCTATTCTCTTTCTAAGTGGCAAAAACATCGCAGTAGGGTCCCCTCTCCCTTTCCTTCAGAAAATGAAAATCGGCAAGCATTACACACACAAGAAATAACTCTGCTTGCACATCTTCAATACATACTGGATATTTTTTTTTAAAATGTATCACCATTTATAAAGCAGAGATAATGTGACGAATGTCATAATATACAAGAGGGTTTAGAATCAAATATTCAAACGGTGTCCCTGGAAACGATTTTGACAAGGACAGAGTTTGAATTTGAATTAAAAAAAGACCACACACCATAAAAGTAAGAGAATGTTGTTTTTTTCTACTCTCACAAAAATGATCCCTCCTCCTCCCAATCCAGGTCCGCAAAATTTTTTTTTTAAATTCCCGGTTGACCCCAAAAAGCTCCTCTATGACCCCAGTTCTCCTTTAGCCCTCAGAAACACGCCAAAAAAGGCAGGCTAACTGGCCCAATGACCTGTCTGCACTTATTCCCTCTTCTTTGACCAAATTAATTCTCTAACTTCATAGTGGGCACAGATGACGTCTCCAAGCAGTTAAGAACTATGTTCTCTTTGCTCGTTTTGCATTATGCATGAACTACTGCCCCAGTTCTGTTACTAGAGGGACACAAGTGAATATTAGGAAACTGAAACTGAATTAACTGTCACCCCTGATTCCCCAAATGGCCCTCTGTCCCCTTGGGCGATGACCTCCCCACCCCCCTTCCGGAAATCCCAATCCCAGGTTCCCTGCCCGCCATTTCTGCCCAAATGAAATTCTTTCAACTCTCGTGAATTTTCTGTGCTCCTCTTTTTTGGGGTCTTTCATTATCTTTCTTGCCACCTCTCCAAGACTATTTTTACAGGCGTCCATGGTATAATATAAGGCTCATCGATGTCGCAAGGGAAAGATAATATAACTTTCTCTTGTGGAAAGCCTCTGTCTTTCTAATAGGATGTATCCCGTGCAATCCCGATTGGCCCTGGCTCTTGTGATCGAAGTAGTCCACCAGACGAAGGCATAGATTATGACGCAGAGGACATAAAAAACTGAGAATTTATGATCAACAAACACCCAGGATTATTTTATTTTGTCTCGCTTTAACTCTTTGAGCATCCCATTTCTTTTTATATATGTATATCGGTGACAAGCTGTTTAACTGTTCTAGGCCCTGAAAGGTTTTTTTTATTCAGGAGAGAGGAGAAAATGGTTACCCTTTTAACAGTATATTACCTACTGTTGTATGCTTTTTGTTGCTTTTTTTCCAAGAATTAGAATTTAAATTTCGATAAATATTTTTCAAGCTCATGCAGCAGATATCACAGATTATGAAACTGCAATAGTCGTTTTAACCTTAATTATCAAACATTTTGGGTTATCATATCTAGACAACTGGCGGAAGATATTAATAAATTATTTCTTTCCTGCTTGCGTCTATGGTTTAACCCCCCTCCCTCCCCCCAACCATCTTCCAAATTAGCGTTTAAACATGCCAGTAGCTTCAACAGATATGTAAACAGCATCTTTAATAGCAAACGGTGTAGCGTTAACACTCCATTGTCAATTAGAATGTATGACCTTCCTTTACAAACAAATACAAATTTTACAAATGTCCACAGCATCAACGAAAACAACAACAACAACATTAACAACAGCAGCAACAATATCAATAACAACAACAACAATAACAATGACAACAACTCTACAAAAACTACCCCCAAAAATTCAGGGCAAGTCTCAGCTTGCAGTTGTCGCTCGTGACCTCATCTCATACATACGGTGATGTATTAGTTCCGAGTCCGCTGGCTCTCAGTGGTAAGCCAATAACTTCCCTCCCCTCCCCTCCCCTCCCCTACTGTGTCTCCATAAGCCCCTCCCCACGCTCACAATACCCGTTTTAAGCGGCCCCTATAGCCCGTGCCATACCCATTTTCACGTCTGCGTTGACAGCCTCTGTGTCGTGGCAACTGTCACCTAGGTTTGACCAGCGGTTATGAGATCACATCTCTAGAGTTCTTTCAGAGGCATGTACCATCCAGATAGCGGTTCAATCGTTAATTCCATACAATGCGGGTGCCAAAACGGGAGTGGAGCTTTGCATAATCTACATTTTAGAGTAATCCCGCCTTGCGTATAAATAAAGGACTCGTGCATTCAGCGATCATTCCGCGACTTTGGCGTTTTGATGATGCCCTTGGTCAACTCGAGAGAGATTGAGACATAGTGACTTTAGCTTTCTCTCTTTTTTCGCGGGATCGTTTGCTGTCCTCTGAAGCCCATCGTAAGTCGAAAGATCCTGGCTTTGGAATGCTTTGTTCCGTGTCTAGTCGAGCTTTAAACATAAGATATTATAGGTTTATTTGGTATGAATTCAGTTTGTGAATAGAGTTGTTAAATAGTTCTCCCTGTATTCTCGCTCAACAGTGGTGATAACGAGATTATCGACATTCAATTTGTATTTTTCACACAAGAATCTAAACATGAATTAAAATCGATAGACAAAAGCCTTGTACGTTAATGTAAAAGTTAAACTGACAAATATGAAGTTTAAAAAAAAAGATAGACAAAAGCCTTGTACGTTAATGTAAAATATGAAGTTAAAAAAAAGATAAAGAAACAAAGGACTTAACTGTGTATTTTTTAATAAGAAAGGTTCGTTTTTTTACGCTTTTAGTACGTTACTTTGAAACCATACTTTTACTGTATCTAATAAAGATTTTCCTCTATGTAACAGTCACCGTATGGGTAAGGACCGATATCGAAAAGTGTAGTATCTAACATTTGTCTCCACAAAAAAGAAACAGAACGAGAATAGGCTCAAATTGGCATTTTCTGTGTTAGTGCCAAGTTCATCACCAGCTGAGGAACTCTGGATGTGTGACTGAGAGTATTCTAAAAACTGTGAATGTTTTATCTCGAAGTCGAAGAAGTGTGAGTGGCAACGGCGAACGTAGATCTATCTAACGGTACCCAAGTGTTTTATTCTCTGAGCTAGAGGTGACCACAGACCGTACGTAACATCTGCCTTACTTATCGCACTCGATGAGCCAACATGTACGCGACAAGGACACTCAACACGGGTAGACCGACGGTGAGTTTCCACCATCAAGACATATTATTATGGTACTTGTTTTGAGGTTGTTTCTTTTTTCTTTTTCACATTTTTAACTATTGTCCAAGACATGTGGGTAAAGGATCATGTCTCAAAAAAGCAACTTCTCCGAGGGAGCAGACATACTTACACTGTTTTGCCGCCTCCCTTAATAATAGTTTTTTGAAGAAAATGCATTTCTTTGCTACTAACAAAACAACAAGCTTTACGATTTCGTGCTCAAAGTGCCACAAAGTATCTTGTAACACAATTTCTCCATTTCAAAAGGTATTGAATATCGATATGCAATATTATGGCACATGCACCGGAATTATTTGCATGTTTGTGTAGACATGAGTATGCCTTGCAGCCATCCGGCACGTTAATGTACGTCCGTGTACCTATCTTGTTTCCTAAAAAAAGTCTGTTATCTTGCCGTTTTCTTTCCGTTTGTCAATCAACTTCTTTTCACGGGTCTTTCGCAATACTTCCATTTCATTACTGTTTTCACGCCCCCCCC